CACAAATTTTTGTATTAGATCTATCTACCTGGTGCTACGGAACCAAGCAAGCTAAGTAATCAGACGATCGTGTTTACGATTGACTTTACTCTATTATAGATATTATCTAGATCTAGAGTCTAGATTTAGCTAGATTTAGATCTAGATCAAGAAGAAGTAGAAGATGATTCAGTCCAAACAGGACTATTTTGGGGAGGTCCTGGTCAGGTCGGGACGGGTCGGTTTGCTCGACAGACTGACGGCGCAAAGTGGCTATTGTGGCACAAATTTTAATTGATCGCGCCCGACTCATTGCCTCAAAAACAAACGCGTTGTTTTCAGGCAACGAGTCGGGCGATCATCCCAACCCGATCTCATCCGCAACGGGCACTGGGCACCCCGTAGTGCAAAGGAAGTGGTAGATCTAATTTCAGGTACGAATTGAGTCTTATTGACGCCATCGCGTCGTTATTTATTATTTATTTTTAGTTGTGGAAGAAAATTTCGGTTATTTTTACGGAAATTAACTTATTATTTTTCCAATTTTTGCAGAAAATTGCCTAAGATTTGCGAATTCACAAAAATGGCAAAAGTTGCGCGAAAGTTGCGCTGAGACCAAAAGTTGCGTACGCAACTTGCGGGGTGCGAATTTCTCTGACGACAGATTATAATACTGAGAATATGAGAATAAAGAACAAGAAGAAGCCATTTTTCTGGAAATGTAGAAATGAAACAATTATTTTATTTACATTTGTGAAACAGGAACAATGACATGTCATATTTACATGATTGTTGTAGATTCTATGTAGATCTCTGTGTCATTCTTCTACGGCACTTCCAAACGGCCAATGTATAAGCCGACATTGCACTTCCTCTTTCTTGGAGGCACCGATAAGTTCCAGTGGGTGGTTGATGGGTGCTCTGGCGTTGTTTGTTCCTTCTTTCCTATCAAAAATCTATCGTACTTATCTCTCCTGATTGTTTGTTTGTTTGTTTGTTTGTTGTTGTTGTTGTTTTTTTGTGTTTTTTTTTGGGGGGGGGGTATAATATTACTCTCTTGTAGACATAATCTATTCTTCGGCCCTTACATGACCTTATTGTGTTGCAAGTGCCGTAAAACACTTACTAAAACTAAAGATGTGTTCCAGAGACACGGCAACATACTCGTAATTTGTTTCAGAAACAAACAAAAACATTTTTTTGGAACATTCTTAATCTTATAACGTTAGGCCAGTTCTGTCTCTTGGGCAGATGTTGTGAAGTACAGAAAGCATAGGCCCTAGTGATAACTGAGAAACATGTTGTTGTTTTTTATATTTAAAATATTTCCTCTCATTAGCCAAAACCACAAAACCACAAAACCACAAAACCACAAAAGTACGACAGTAGTAAAGTAGAAGCTTACACAGCCACCAGCTGAGGCTTCATTCAATTCTGGATGAATTACCCCCCCCCCCCCCCCCCCAAAAAAAAAAACAACAAAAAACAACAAACAAACAAATTTTTTTTAAAAATTAACAAATTGGTAAGTAAATACATATATTAATTAATTAATTAATTAATTAATTAATTAATTAAAAAATAAATTTTAAATAAATAAATAAATTAATTAATTAAAAAAAAATAAAATACCTTTTTACACTCGGAAATAAATAAAAAAAATTTTTAAAATAAACATCCCAATAAATTTTTATAAATAAATAGTGATGATAAAGATGAGGCAGGGGCTATAATGTTTCCCCCAAGCCAAAACTCTCCCCCCCCCCCCCCCCCCAAGTTACTACCGCCAACTCTACCATGAGCTCTTCCCCTCTGGTCGGTGTGTGGAGTTGTCAAGGTTCTCAGCCCGCCTGAAGGTCCTGCCTTGTAAATATAACCTCATGGCGTTGATAAAGGTGTTAGGGCCTAATCATAGGCTATCTTTCCACTTATTGTTTACCTTTAAAAAACCTGACAGTGTTGATCGGTTGGTTACAGTAACACCTTTTAACCTATTAAAAAAACCCACATAGTATTGATAGGATGATTTCAGTTATATCCTTAGGCTTACATTTCATCTTTTTTAACAACAATAATAACACTACACAGTAGTGTAAACATAATAAATCATGATTGGTTTCACAACTAGTCCAAACGTACGTTTATCTTAACCCTATCCGAACGTCGTGTTTTACTATCGTATCTATAAGACTTGAGGAACTCTGTGCCACCAATTAACCCTATCCGAACGTCGTGTTTTACTATCGTATCTATAAGACATGGGGAACTCTGTGCCACCAATTAACCCTATCCGAACGTCGTGTTTTACTATCGTATCTATAAGACATGGGGAACTCTGTGCCACCAATTAATTAACCCTATCCGAACGTCGTGTTTTACTATCGTATCTATAAGACATGAGGAACTCTGTGCCACCAATTAACCCTATCCGAACGTCGTGTTTTACTATTGTATCCATACGACGTGGGGAACTCTGTGCCTCCACTTTCCAAAGAGGAAATTTACTCGTTAATCCGATCTGTATGCTTTAGCATAGCAGTCTGTCAAAATTATTTTTTGAGAAAACTGAAAGTTTCAAAGAGATCGTCGCTCTAGAAGTATTCTAAAATGCGAAGAATACAACCCCTGGGGTACGAAATGACCCCAGGGCGTACAGATAGGGTTCAACACTGCAGAATATAGAATCTATTGCCTCGTGTTCCTCACAATTCATAAACAATTAATGCCAAGCCGGATCTAATTGTCCGTCCTTAGATGAAATTCTTTCCTCGAACACAATTTGAATCAAATTGATCAGGACGAGTTTGTTCCATTAATCTTCGCAGCTCGAGATCTTAATACTTCGCTTTCCGTAAAGTCGCTGCTCATTGGTCCAATTGGCGTGACGTCATCGATACTGCTGTCTGCGTGCTGTAAGGGGGGACTACTTTTTTTCCCCTCCTCACTTTTGGCGGTTCCGTTTTTGTGTGCGTCTGCTTTTGTTTTGGCGCCAAGAAGTCTCTCCTCCCAGTCCGGCCAGAAAGCTTCCTTCATTTTGAGGCAGAACTGTTCCAGATTGGGGAATTTTTCTGAGGACGAGAACAGGACGCATGATTAGCCCCTCTCCCTGTCTGGATGATGCATTAATATGTTCCGGACAATTCATCGATGCTGCGCGTTTTAAAGATCGTATAATTGCGCGGCAATCTGAAGACTGCTCTGTGCGTTTTAACAATTGTATAATTGTATCATTCTTATGAGCTCTTCAGTTTCAAATCTTAGTTTTAATTTTAATTTTCATATAATTTTTACTCTTTTGCAAATATACGTGAATGTTCCTTGATGTGAGTAAAAGAATAAAGGTAGAAGTGAAGTGAACTTTGAGTTTGATACCTGGCATTCTATCATTCTTGTTGGCTCTCAGATATTTCTACACTTTTGAAAATGTGTGTGAACGTAACTTGATGTGAGTAAAAGAATAAAGATGGAAGTGAATTTATTTTTTTTTTTTTGCATAAAAAAGAGCTATTAACACAATCTGCAGATTGTCCCGCAATTATGCGATGGTCAAAACGCTCTGTGCAATCTGAAGATGGCTCCGATCAGTAAATTATGCGGAACACATATAAAATAACAGTTAACTATGAAATACTACAAACCATTAGCTGTGTATTATGACAAATGACTAGCTACGAAACTCTGCTTACAGATACTCCAAACTATTAGCTTCAAAATAGGCGACTTCCTAAAAGTACTACAAATGATTCGTTACGAAATACAACCCATGAGTACACGTACTTCAAATAAAGATTAGTTCTGAAATATAACCTACAATTAGTACATGTACTACAAAAAATGAGGGTGGCTTTCGTGGCCTAGGGGTTAAGGTGTTGGCCTCGCATTCAAAGATCCCAGGTTCGAATCCCGGTAGCGACCGAAAAACTTTCTTCTCTAAAATTGTCTCCTTTTACCCCCTTTCCTGCTCTCTAGCAATATTCTGTCGTCTGCTTTCATCTTCTCTTCCCCCCCCCCACCCCCTCACCCCCTTTGCCCTCTCCTCTGGGCTCCTGACTCTTTCTGCAGCCTTTCTACTGCTACTCCTTGACTCCTCCTTACAGCTGTCTTTCTGCCACACCCCTGATCTTCTGGTTAGAAAGATTTACACCTAGCCTTCTCGGACAAGGGCGAAAAATCTCGGAGGGCCCGTGTGCAAGTTGCGCACGTTAAAGATCCCTTGGTGGTCTAAAATCGATAAGAGTAGGCTTCGGCCGCCACCCGGGCAAAATTCAAAATTTCCTACCAATTAAAAGTATTAGGTGTGTCCCGCGCGCTCATATGACCTTATGCAGTTGCGAGCGCCGTAAAACACTTACCAAAACAAACAAACAAACAAAAAAAGATTAGTTCTGAAACACACCCGACAAGTACATGTACTACAAATAGTGATTAGTTACGAAGTACGACCGACAAATTATAGAGTCAAACGATTGGAATTATAATGCAATATAATAACAAATGATTAGCTATGAAATATGACCTTTTGAAATTATACTCAAAACGATTAGTTAAAAAGGAACACCCGACAAATACATGTACCACAAACGATAAACAGCAAAATGTGAGGCAGCGTGGTGAAATCAGGCGCTCGTCGAAATGACGAAATCGGAGAAACAGGCATTTTCCCGTCAGTTTGGACACTTTTATCGAATTTTTCTTTTTCTGGCTTAACCTCTTTTGTGTCCATATAAAACACATTTACATGTGAATTTTACTGAAAAACATTGATTAAAGGCACAAAATGTGTGTTTTTTTCTGTTTTCAAAAACTCTTTTGCTATTGGAGTGACCTAACATTGGCGACCATTTTCTCGCTAGTTTCACAACTAAAACCAGGCGACCTCACCTCCTTCAACCGCAACTATCTTGAGTTCTATTCATGATATATGGGTATTTATTTCATTGGAAGCAAGGCGAAAAATCAGCTTTCACATACCAATAACTCCACATGCCTAAAAATTGACGAGCGCCTGATTCTCCCGCGTCGTAACACTAATACTACAAATGGTTATATAAGATAAAGATATATGAGTGGCTGGTTGTGTGTAACCTGCGTACCTCTGGCCTCCGCAGCCACGGGACATAGTGGCGTGCCCCACAACAGCTCACACAGCTGTCCGAACAGCGCGCAGTCTACCTCTGTCACTTCCTCCTTGCTGTTGCCGAACAGGAAGTTCTTGTTGCCTGGTTGGGGTGGGGGTGGGGGGGGGGAGAGATAGAGAGAAGGGAAAATAAATACATGTACAGTACAAAGCGGGCGGGGAGAAGGAATGATAAAAGTTGAAGATCGGTAGAACCGACACAGGTTAAAAGGTCAGAAAGTTCAGTCTTATGAATGGAAAATAGCTGTATATAACTAACTTCAAAAATGAGGATAAATGCCTCTTTCATTTTTAAATGCATACTTTTAGTTTCTCTTGTATTGTACGAACTTGATTAAGTAGACCATATTGATACCTGCAAGCATTTCCTATACTATTGCATTTGAAGTGTATGGTAATTTCATAATTACTAACAAGCCAGATATTGAAATTGCACGTATCTATAGGGTGTACGATCGCTTTGGATTCGGTCGTTTGCATTGTGAAAGTTTAAGAAGTTCAGGGACCCCCCCCCCCTGCCCCCCCCCCCCCTCCCCCGTGAAATGTACCGTCGGCTGTATTGTCACGTTCACTTCCTGAAGCCCAAGTCCCATGCATTGATCGTCGAGTATTTTGTACTCTGTTTGGCTCATACATACCTCGGCTGAGATGTTTAGAATCTTTTCTCCAAAGGGAGTATGTTAGCCCGAGGTTTTACTGTACGTAGAGGTCCTTGGAAACTGAAAAGTTTACATTTTTGTGTGCATTTGAACCAAACCCAAGTTTTTGTGTTTTTGTCTTTGTTTTGTTTTGTTGTTGTTGTTGTTGTTGTTTTTTTGTGTTTTTGTTGTTGTTGTTGTTTGGTTGTTGTTGTTGTTTTTTGTGTTTTTGTTGTTGTTGTTGTTTGGTTGTTGTTGTTGTTTTTTGTGTTTTTGTTGTTGTTGTTGTTTGGTTGTTGTTGTTGTTTTTTTTTGGGGGGGGGGGAGTAAATCCACACTGCAAAGCAAATAAATATATTTTTTAAAAGGACGTTACAGGTATATAGCCAGAACAAAATAAATCAATCGATTTTTTAAAATGTCCAGTAGGCTCGGAAAAAATGGCGGTTTCTTCAATTTCATTATTTGCACGAGTGTCTAATTTCACCAGGATACCACAAATGTCCAGTTTGTCTAGAATGGACTCACCCAGTTGTCTAATGGACTCACCCAGTTGTCTAATGGACTCACCCTGTTGTCTAATGGACTCACCCAGTATAACGGACACACCCAGTTGTCTAATGGACTCACCCAGTTGTCTAATGGACTCACCCTGTTGTCTAATGGACTCACCCTGTTGTCTAATGGACTCACCCAGTATAACGGTCACACCCAGTTGTCTAATGGACTCACTCAGTTGTCTAATGGACTCACCCAGTATAACGGACAGAATGGACTCACCCAGTTGTCTAATGGACTCACCCAGTATGACGGAGAGGGCCCTGAGGTCATCACGGGTCAGTTTGGTGACCTCGTCGTGTGAGTGTCGACCTATGCCATGGACGGCCACCCTGCGGGCTGACTCGTGTCTCAGGTACCAGATGAAGGGGGCGGGGAGACCCAGTTGACGGTACAGGGTACTGGACGGGTCACCACACAGTCGGTACCACACGATAGCCCTGAGGGGGGGGGGGAGTATGAGAGTAAGAGTTATATGGTCGCTTTTACGCACAAGGGGGCTTTCCGCCAAAAATGCTGTTTTGAGAAAATCGAAGTTCAAGTGTTTGCCCCTTGTTCTGTGGTTTATAATTCGCTGTGATCACCAGACAAGCCAGAATCACGTGAAATAAGTAAATAAACTCAGTGTAGCCTAGTGAGGGTAGGAGAATAAGGGAGCACGGGGGGTATATGAACAGACGGCGAAGGTTAAACTGGCCTTCCGAGCCACGACTAAGACCTAGTCTGAGCAGGGATCGACGCTACTGGTGGGTCGACACAGTGGTCGACGCTACTGGTGGGTCGACACAGTGGTCGACGCTACTGGTGGGTCGACACAGTGGATGGAGCTCCGGACCTGTACGACCCACACTCATCG